ATGAAGAAGTAAAACCAATTCCAACAATAAGGCATTTCCACAACAATAACCAATAACCCACAACGTGTACCATTACCCACAATGTATATCAAGTCACAACTTGTATCTTTCACAACATTATATATATGTGTCTTAGATATGATGTATGACATCACATGAATAAACACATTGAGAATATCCTGACCTACGCACACACACTCAATCCTCGCAAGGATATCCAATCATTAGGAAGGGCGTATACCAACGCATTGGCAGGGACGATCTAACCCAAGAGTAGTATACTAACCCTCAGCCTCGATAGCACGTGAGAGAATAGTGGTTTGGTCCTCGCAAGGCACCAATCCTACTATGAGTGGTAGGGAACCTTCAAACTCACACGGAGTAAGAAACACATCTATACCACTCTACGATATCCAGTCAACAGCCACCCATGGTCATCCAAACATCCACAAAAGATACAATACAACCCAATTCCTCAAATCACAAGCAAAATCTAAAAATCTCTAAATTTCACTTGTATGATTTCAATAGAATAATTTGAGAAAATAAGCAAGAGATCATCAACAATACCATTTTATTGTTCAATACCAACCACTAGAGTTTTGAAATCAATAACAAAGGAATATTGAGAGAAAAATCTATTTTTCTTGAAAACTAGAGTTTTCAAGACAAGAAGAAAAGATTTCATGGCTATTCACCCATAGCTTCCATCAAAATATGGTAATCTTTGCAAGAGCATCAAGAAATAATAATTTTATAGCATATATGTAGGATTGAGAGTGAAAACATTCATATATATATGTCATAGCCTCAATAAACAAGAGTGAAAGGAAACCCCTACCTTTCTTCTTCCTTGGTGTTCTTGAAAACCTANCCTTGTAGTGGCAAACATCATGTTTAGAAAATGAGAAGAACATCTAATAACCTTTAAGAGAGTACCAAACGAAAGCCAAGTAGACTACTTCTTAAGTAGAAGAATATATTGAATAACGTGTAAAGATTGTAAGGTTATCCCAGGAGAAAGCTTAACATCTCAACATAGGCTAACAATTCTAGATTTTTATATTAAAGNTACAAATTCCTCTTGATCTTGTGTTTTTCCCCTTATCTCTTCCTCTCTAAGACTCTCTAGGGTTATAAATGTTGAAATGGGGCTAAGAGAGGTGTGCTTAAGTATTTATAGGGGGTAAAATGGTCCCTTGTGCGCGAGTCTGAAAGTCAAAATTTGTAGCTCACGTTCGAACGTCATTTGGTGTTTGAATGTCACTAGTACAAATTACTGCTTTACGTTCGAACGTCATTTGGTGTTCGAACGTCGCATGCTCCTAGTGCTTTTTCTCTTCCATCAGAGCTCCATTAAACTCAAAAGTTCTGTGACGAACTGTCGTTCAAATGTTCATTCACGTTCGAATGTCCTCCTAGTTTCTGTTGAAACTTTCAGTGAAGTTTTGATCCATTCAGAGGTCGATTTGAAAACTTTTTGTGAAATACTATTTTGTAGTCCTAGAAGTCTACTATCTACTATCAACATTTTAGATCAAATGGACATCAAATTAAAAATTTATGGTCCAAATACTAGACAGTGTCAAAAATCCTTTTTATCCAAATTCTCTCTAACATGTGCTTTCACTCCGGAATACTTTCAAACTTCTACAACATACTCTATTACCTCAACTAACATTTTTATTTTGACTCTTAAAATCTGTATAGTTTATGCANCAGAATACTTTCAAACTTCTACAACATACCCTATTACCTCAACTAACATTTTTATTTTGACTCTTAAAATCTGTATAGTTTATGCATACATTATCACATATATTAGTATTTCAAAACATAATTACGTTGCGATATAAAGATAAGAATGTAGGGGTTTACAACAACATTGGCTCCCGGGTGCAGTGATAAATGGACAAGGGTCTCCGCGCCATGGACGGATGTGGCAGATAAGGAAGCTAGTCCATGATGATAGACTTAGATTAGCAACTTGGAACATAGGTACACTCACCGGCAAAATTATGAAATTAGTAGACACCATGAGTAGAAGGAAAATTAGTATAACATGCTTACAAGAAACTAGGTGGGTAGGTGAGAAAGAAAGGGAGATAGAAAATACAGGATTTAAGATTTACTATACAGGAAAGGATAGATGAAGAAATGCCTGAAAGACAGCATAGTAGCAGTTACAAAGAAAGAAGATAGGATTATATCTATCAAGTTGTAGTCGGAGAAAATATAATTAATATGATTAGTGCTTATGCACCTCAAGTAGGGTTATAAGAATATATTAAAAAGTAATTTTGGGAACAAATGGATGAATTAGTTCAATGTACACCTATAGGAGAAAAAATAATCATAGGTAGAGATTTCAATGGACATGTAGGAAAAGATAGGACACAATATGAGACGAGTCATGGTGATTATGGATATGGTGATCAAAATGAAGCCAGAGAGAGTATTTTAGAGTTTGCAATGACATATGACATTGTAGTGGCAAACATCATGTTTAGAAAATAAGAAGAACATCTAATAACCTTTAAGAGAGTACCAAACGAAAGCCAAGTAGACTACTTCTTAAGTAGAAGAATATACTGAATAACGTGTAAAGATTGTAAGGTTATCCAAGGAGAAAGCTTAACATCTCAACATAGGCTAACAATTCTAGATTTTTATATTAAAGGGCAATATAGAGTAAGGATAAACATTAGAACAACAAAAATGAGATGGTGGAATCTAAAAGATGAGAAACTAATACTATTGAGGAGTAAAATGCTTAAAGAGGTCTTATGGAACCTAAAGGATGAGACTAACATTATGTGGAGTAGGATGACGAAAGACATTAGAAAAATTTTGAGAGAGGTTCTTGGGGGAGTCAAAGGGTAGAGGGCTTATGGGAAAAGAAACTTGGTGTGGAATGATGACGTACAAGATGTAGGTAAAGTAAATAAAGAATCCTTTAAGAGATTAAAAAATGATAGAAATACAGAGAACTTCCAAAGATTTAAATTAGATAACAAAGATGTTAAAAAGATAGTTAGAGATGCTAAGTTAAAAGCCTACAACAAGTTGTACAAAAAACTAGATAGTAAAAAGGGAGAAAAAGACATCTATAAACTAACTAAAATTAGAGAAAGAAAAACAAGAGACTTTAACTAAGTTAAGTGCATCAAGGGCGATAACTCAAAGGTTTTAGTTAAAGATAAGGAAATAAATGACCGGTGGAAATACTATTTTGAGAAACTATTAAACGAAAATCACTTAGGAAACATAAAAGAGATAAAAAAATGGTACGATCCATGAAACTTTCTGTCGTAGAATAAAGAATTCGGAGGTAAAGTTTGCATTGAAGAATTTGAAATTAGGCAAGGCTTTAGGACTGGATGAGATTCCAATTGAGGTTTGGAAGTGCTTAGAGAATGAGGGGGTGGCGTGGATAACAAAATTATTCAATAGATTTATTGCTGCTAGGAAAATGCCCAATGAATGGAGAAAGAGTATTTTAGTATCTATCTAAAAAAATAAAGGAGATATTCAAAATTATAATAATTATAAAGGGATAAAATTTATGAGTCATACAATGAAATTATGGAAAGTCATTCAACGGCGCTTAAGAGTTGAGACTACAATGCCAGAAAATCAGTTTGGGTTTACGCCAGATAGATTAAGTATGGAGGTTATATATTTATTGAAGACACTCATAGAAAAGTATAGAGAGAAGAAGAAAAATTTTCATATGGTATTTATATATCTAGAAAAGACGCATGATAAAGTACCTAGAAATATAATATAGAGACATAGGTTGCCTACGTGGGAGCAGAGACAGAATAAGGCCAAGCTTTTAGCGAATCTCGTGAAAGTTGCTAAGCTGGAGACATAGGCAGTTTGCTAGAGAGTAGAATAGAGTGACACCAAGCTTTTTGGCAACTTGCGAGAGAACAACTAAGCTGGAGACATAAGCTACCTGTGTGAAAGTAGAGGCAGAATGAGGCCAAGCTTTTGACGACTCTCGTGAAAGCCGCTAAGTTGGAGACATAGGCTACCTACGTGAGAATAGAGACAGAATGAGGTCAAGCTTTTAATGATTCTCACGAGGGTCGCTAAGTTAGAGAAATAAGTTGCCTAAGTGTGAGAACATATGTAGAGTTAAGCCAAGCTTTCTGGTGACTCGTGAGACGAGCACTAAGCTGAAGATTTAGGGTGTCTGCATTATAGCACTATTGAGTGCTAAGGCACGGGGTGTCGCTGGGCACTAGGCACTGGAAGTTTTTCGCTGGACACAGACGCTGGGCGCTGCCTGCTGGGAGCTGTCCGCTGGGCGCAAGCACTAGGCACTAATGCTAGGCGTTGTCCACTAAGCGCAGATGCTTGGCTTTGTCCATTGGGCTTTGTCTGTTGGGAGTTGTCTGTTGGGCATTATCCACTAGGCGTAGGTGCTACCCGCTGGGCTCTGAGGCATTGTCCTCTGGGCACTGCCAGCTGGGAGCTATCCACTGGGCATAAGGGCACTGAGCATTGTCTGTTGGGCGCAGACGTTGGGCACAGGTAATTGGCATTGTCTGCTAGGCGATGTTGGCTGTGCGTTGACATTGGGCGCTGGTGCATTGACCGTAAGGCGCTGGTCGCTGTTTGTAAGAGGCGGGAAGCGCCAAGCGAGGGAGGTTGGGTGACGTCCGAGCAGGGCTGGAGGGGGTGCCAGGTAGGGCGATGGGTGGGGTCAAGCTAGGAGCAAAAGGGCGCCAGGTAAGCGAGGTAGGGTGACACTGCATGAGCATGGGAGCCATTGCCGAGGGGTGCTGGACATTGTCCACTAGGGTATAACCACTGTCCGCTGGGCGTCGAGGGGCACTATACCCCTGGGCACAAACGTCGAGAAACTCTAGGCGCCACTGGGCACAAACATCGAGGTGCACTTAGCTCGGTGGTACCAAGGTAGGATCAAGGGTTGGTGATGCTTTGGGTCCATGTAATGGGTCTACATGGCAAGATGGGTAGCATTAGCAATGAGGGAGACGTTGTTGGACTTTGCAATGGGTTGGAAGCAAGAGGATTTGGGTGTCGCCAAGCAGGTGAGTCATTGGTATGTGAGGCAGGGAGGTGGGTGGCGCCAGACTGGGCGTAGAAGGGCGCTAGTCAGGCAAGGCATAGTGACTATGCGTAGGCATAGGAGGGGACGCCAGGCACGGTGGGGCGACACCCACTTGGAGGCAAGCTAGACATCGCCATGATGGGTACTGGGCGTAGGAGACGCAGCCAAGCTTGAGCTAGACTTGGTCTGGGCGACGTTTTTTGGTCTTGGATGGGTGACGCAGACAGCGCTGGCCTTAGCTAGGCGAAGCCATTGTCTAGCGAGGGATGGTATGGGCAATGCCCGAGGTTGGTTGGTGCATTGGCTCTGTCTTTGGGATGTTCGGTGTTAGGTGGAGTACTAGACAATGATGAAGAAATGGTGAAATTTCGAACAACCATAACTTTACGCTCGGTTGTTTGTTTGAGGCAATTTTTTTTTTGAATTCGGGTATTTGTTTGAGATCTACGACATACAAACTGCTGAAGGCGATTTAGGCACCAAATTTCTCCAAAAGATGCTTCTTTCTCATAGAATTTGAGTTTTTAACCCCAAATTGTGAAAAAGTAGATTTTGCATGTGTCTCCTTTTCGCCGATGATGGCGAGACCTCACCATGATGTGGCAGATCATCTTCTGCTTGGTGGTTTTATGGATCTGATTGTTCTTGTCATTGGAGGTAGGAAGACTATAAGGAGATAATCAAATCGTTTCCCACAAACAACACCAAATTGATGATACACAAAATAGATTTATGCACAATCAACAGTAGAGTGATTGATGCAAAGGGAATTAATGAGACAATTAAATCAGCAATTAATGACAAAAAGGTAAATCTTGGGTCAACACACANGTTAGGAAGACTATAAGGAGATAATCAAATCGCTTCCCACAAACAGCACCAAATTGATGATACACAAAATAGATTTATGCACAATCAACAGTAGAGTGATTGATGCAAAGGGAATTAATGAGACAATTAAATAAGCAATTAATGACAAAAAGGTAAATCTTGGGTCAACACACAAATATATAGTGGTTCGGTCGGGATGACCTATTCCACTTTGAAGATGACAACGGTGGCCAGTGGTCTTTATTGATGAAGTAGTAGGTGAGAGAGAGAGAGAGCAATGGTTAGCTCCGAGAGGGGTATGGTAGCTAGGTGAGAGAAATAGCTATGTGATGGGTATGTGGAGAGAGGTCTTTCTCATGTAGGAAGACTATAAGGTGATAATCAAATCGCTTCCCATAAACAACACCAAGTTGATGATACACAAAATAGATTTATGCACAATCAACAGTAGAGTGATTGATGCAAAGGGAATTAATGAGACAATTAAATAAGCAATTAATGACAAAAAGGTAAATCTTGGGTCAACACACAAATATATAGTGGTTCGGTCGGGATGACCTATTCCACTTTGAAGATGACAACGGTGGCCAGTGGTCTTTATTGATGAAGTAGTAGGTGAGAGAGAGAGAGCAATGGTTAGCTTCGAGAGGGGTATGGTAACTAGGTGAGAGAAATAGCTATGTGAGGGGTATGTGGAGAGAGGTCTTTCTCATGTAGGAAGACTATAAGGAGATAATCAAATCGCTTCCCATAAACAGCACCAAGTTGATGATACACAAAATAGATTTATGCACAATCAACAGTAGAGTGATTGATGCAAAGGGAATTAATGAGACAATTAAATAAGCAATTAATGACAAAAAGGTAAATCTTGGGTCAACACACAAATATATAGTGGTTCGGTCGGGATGACCTATTCCACTTTGAAGATGACAACGGTGGCCAGTGGTCTTTATTGATGAAGTAGTAGGTGAGAGAGAGAGAGCAATGGTTAGCTCCGAGAGGAGTATGGTAGCTAGGTGAGAGAAATAGCTATGTGAGGGGTATGTGGAGAGGTGTCTTTCTCATGTAGAGAGAGCTTACAATTTATAGGCATAGAACTTTAGTTGAGACAGTAACGTGAGGGTAAAGACACTAGTCTTTCGGAGAGGATAACTACAAAAGGTAAGTACAATTAAATATTGTCTTNGTAGTAGGTGAGAGAGAGAGAGCAATGCTTAGCTCCGAGGGGGGTATGGTAGCTAGGTGAGAGAAATAGCTATGTGAGGGGTATGTGGAGAGGTGTCTTTCTCATGTAGAGAGAGCTTACAATTTATAGGCATAGAACTTTAGTTGAGACAGTAACGTGAGGGTAAAGACACTAGTCTTTCGGAGAGGATAACTACAAAAGGTAAGTACAATTAAAGATTGTCTTGATCTTCAAGAGTGGGTATCCCGATGATTGCTCTTCACGTACTCTAATCTTCTTGGATCCTTTGGACTTTGGACTGAGTCGAATTCACAAACTAGACTTGACCTGCCTTTTAGCTGATTTTGGCCTATCTCATTAATTAGGCCTGACCTAGTAAAATCTGGACTCATCACAACTGATTCATTTTTTTTTTGGGTTGGAAAGGAAATTGATTCCTCTTCTAGAAGTATTTTTTTCTTTTTACCTGATTTTTAACTTAGAAAGTGAGTACTCTGATTTGAGCTTAGCATTGTGCTTGATCCTCTTAGAAAAAAAAAAAAAANATATTGTCTTAATCTTCAAGAGTGGATATCCCGATGATTACTCTTCACGTACTCTAATCTTCTTGGATCCTTTGGACTTTGGACTGAGTCGAATTCACAAACTGGACTTGACCTGCCTTTTAGCTGATTTTGGCCTATCTCATTAATTAGGCCTGACCTAGTAAAATCTGGACTCATCACATCTGATTTGAGCTTAGCATTGTGCTTGATCCTCTTAGAAAAAAAAAAAAACCAAAAGCCTAAGCATTCATGCAGAAACCAGATGTGGATGTTCTGATGAAGGACATGCATGAGTCATAACGGGAAGTTATTGTAAGTCTAGGATAAATTAATACAAAAGAATACTTGGAGTATTGTAATGATGAATTCTTGGTTGTAATGAAGTTACTGCCTTATAGTCGATTTTCTTCGAGCTTATTCACAAATTAAGACTTAATTTTTCAAATTCCTTAAAATGTCATTGTATGCAATCATTTTACTGTTTTTAGGATTACCTACTCAAGATTGGCAAACTACTTCAACTGAAGGCAAAAGATTTTTGACTGATTGAGCACATATCTATTGGGAAAGTCCACTGTTGCATACATGGATCACCATTTTTCTGGCATTTTTGAATGATAAGATGAATGAAGGACAAAAAAATGGAGTTATTTTGCTCTATGCCAGTTTGGTTTACATTAAGGACTAATTTTTTAATTGTCGTGTATTCATCTTCCGCTAAAACAATCAGGCAACTTTTTTTTTTATTTTGTCCTGGTGAATTTAATATGTGGATTAATGATGCAATCTGTAGACTTCATATATGAAGTGTCATGTTGATGTCCAAAATTCTTCTTTGGCAATTATGTTGGATTGAGTTTTATTTATTTGTTACTGCATGTTATCAAGTATTATGATTGTTATAGATTATTTGTTACTGCATTTTATTTGTTACAATTACCCACGAAATTTTTTGTTGCTAAATCAATTTTTGGCCAGCGCAATTTTTCTTTGCAAATATTAAACAAAGAGTTGTGAACCTCCCTTTCTCTGCTAGTTATTAACAACAACGAGCTTGCAGAAGCGAAACAACCTAGGAATTTTTTTCATGATTACAAGTTTGTGCCAGAGAAATTCTTGGTTTTACCAGCAAAATGTTTCTCTACTTAAAGTATTGTTTCTTGTAAAGAGAGTGGCGTACACCCCATTTTTTGATTTCTTGCAATGATAGAAATTGAGTAATGATGGTTTGAACACTATACGAGATTGGGGTGAAAGCTCAAACGCCCATAGGTATGTGAAGGTTACTATTCATCTTCTTCATTAAGCTGTGAAATTTCTTGAGTTGCAGAAAAATTTTGTTTGATATGCCTATTTTGCATCACTATATCTCTCGCTACAACAATTTGTTTGATACAAATAACCGTTGGAAAGTTCTTACAACTTACTTTATAACCATATAATTTTTGTTACATAAAAAATAGATTTAATGTGATGAAATTTGGATGGAAAAAGCGGGGTCCAACATAGTTCTGAAAATAGAATTTTATTTTCCTACCAAATGGCACTTTTTTATGTCACCAAATTTTATAGACATGCTAACTAGGATATAAGGATCATATTAATAACAAAAATTTTGCCTAAATCACATGAAAAAGTATAAACCCATTTCAAGTAAAAACTCAAAAGCTAGGTTCAATTATCCATTGATAAGCATGATATAACACTTGTAATTATTATGCATGTTATTTATAGGAGAAAGCAAGCAATATAGCTCTAATACCAATGTTAGAAAGAGAGGTTATACCCTGGTTCCCTCTTGACTCGTGGAATCAGATCGAATCAACTTGCTAAATGAGTCTTGCTTGTATCCTTGTTTTTTTGAAGAGCCTTGACCGTTAATTAGCTTGACTGTTGTAGCTATCATAGTCCTCTAAGCACCCACACCCACAAAACCTATTCAAGATGGTTATTTTTATAGAAGGAAATCTTAGAGAGGAATGACAGTGACGAATTTTTGTTGTATTTTCTGTATGCATCTCTCCTCTATATATAAAACAAGAGTTTGATGAAGAATATAAAGGCTATCTCAATCTCAACTTATGAGTTATTTAACTACTGATAAAAGAGAAGAGTCTAAACCCATTAGGCCACTTGTAACTTTGAGGACACTACTAGGTAATTATCAAAACATGTGGATGCTTAGTTTATTAAACAACACGACTAAGTACCCTAACACTGGTTGGATTATTTTCTACAACCGATTTGATCTGCTGTGATTGTTTTAGCATATTTACAATTTCAGTGGTGGAAGAAGCATGATCCGTAGTCTTGAATGTCTAAACCTGAGTCCAGGAATCGGATGCGTTTGGACCATCTGCTAGAGTGTCTGCAGGGCTAACTCTTCTTGAAAATCGACTCCTCTTATTCTCCCAGTGTTTAAGTACAATCCATATTAGCATCCAAATGCTTCCAAGTTGAAAGATAGAATTTTCAAGCTTCCACTTGCTGCGAATGATATAGAGAGCCGGAGCGGCCGTTGAAGTACCGCCGGTGAAAACGAAGAGTACCCAAAAGCTGTTGGCGCTTAGACTAACGTTTTCTTTTTCTGATTCCTCATCCAAGCACTTCTCAGATCCTGTCGTACTCCTCTCCAGTTCACGTAGTGCACCGCTTTCAGAGACCTTCACTAACGCTTGATTTATGTCGGGAGGCATCGGAGAACCCTTTGGGAATGCCTGCGGCACAGTGAATGAGAAACTCGTCAATCATACTCTAATTCTATGTGGGGCGATATTGAATGCTTAAGCTATGAATTCCCAAGTGGTACTTGTGTCAATTGTACTATTTTGAGCTCTTAAATCTGTCATCGAATTTTGCCATATTTCATTCGATGCACATGGGAAAGTTTTAAGGGCCGGCAACAGGGAAACCCAACTTACCCCAGATTTCTGTGGGGTTTCAACCCAACGTGCAGAAAATCTTTACGTTCATAATAAACCGAATGCCAAAACAAAAACAGTAATAGAATAAAGGAGAGAGGTTGATTTACATATCCGTATCCTCCAACTTTGTATGTTGGTCCTGCTGTAATAAAACTTTTGCAGTATTTAGCGAGGAAGAGTTTGGCCACAGGAACTTCAAGAAAGGCAGCTGCTATTTTCCCACTTCTGAGGGCCAGAGCAAATTCTTCTGTTGTTGAAATGTTTTTGCAATTCTGTGTGTTAAAATGCAAAACATCCACCAAGTNTATTCCCACTTCTGAAGGCAAGAGCAAATTCTTCTGTTGTTGAAATGTTTTTGCAATTCTCTGTGTTAAAATGCAGAACATCCACCAAGTAATTCACCACGAACGACTTCCTTGAATACCCCACTAACGCATTGATATGCTTCAGTGTCTCAATGTCTGCTATTGTTGGTTCGAGCCGCTGGATAGTGAGNGATATGCTTCAGTGTCTCAATGTCTGCTATTGTTGGTTCGAGCCGCTGGATAGTGAGCACGCTGGTGAGGTTTGCCGTATAGCTTTGTGTGACGATTACAGCGACAAACAGCCAGGCCAACGTTGCCATCCTTGACAAGCTGCTATGTAGATTTTTCCACTATCCCCAAACGAAATCAACCAAAGTCATGACAGGGGTGCAAATCCAAACCGAACCCAAAATATTCAATACTAGAACAAAAATTTTCAATACAACACTGGGGTTTGGACAAAAAAAATCTCAATACAATTTAAATTCAGATAAAACTCAAGTTCTCTAGACCCAATCAAATTACTTAAATCAAAATATGTAAAAATGAATTCACTTGAACTGTGCAATCTGAGCCTCAAAGTTTTATCATTTATGTTGAGCCTTGTCAACCTGCCCATCCCACTTTTCTAAATTTGAAGAATTTTAAATTATTAAATTTATCATTCAGCAATCATATTCTACCAGATGCATCTAATGACTACCCATAAACTCTCTCTAATCACCATTTATTTAAACTTTTTTTTGAACATCAAATTTTGTAATCCAATAATTCCCAATTTTTTTTAATTAATTTATAAAACAATAGGTGGGAGAAAACAAATGGTTAAAAAAGATATTGAAAGGAGAAGAGAATGACTTGTGTATCGCATAAGGTCGGATGCTAGTATATATAATTTTTGCTACAGACTGATGAGTTCTTTCAATAGTGGTTTCAAGGTAGAACATTGAGTGTAGGGTTACCATTTAAAGAGAACAATGTGCCGAAAGCTAACCAAAGCAGGGTTCCTATTTGATTCATCACTGAGCTTCTAACTTCAGCGTAGTGAGGTCGCTCTATCATCCATATCACAAGGCCATTGTAGATATTCACAAAAGCTGTAAGAAACCACATTGCCCTTGTGAAGGGTTTCATGAATAATAAGCTTTGTTGCTCGATTAGGATCGCACAGGGACTACCATCACCAGTTCGGATTCAGTGTGGGGTTGTGTGAATTCTGCATGTTTATATCTGTTGGATATTTTCGCCACATCACCAACCACTGCGTCAAACTCCTATCATGCAGAGACAAATTGTATGTCAGTTGTACGCTTTCGTTAAAGAAATCAAAAGTTTATTATGGAGCAAATTTAATTTTGGTAGTAGACTAGTAGTCATACTGTACATAGAAGCAAATAATATGACAGCCAACCTTCCTTATAATATGAATATACAAATGTGACATAATGGATGATGATTCGATTCTATGTACAGAATTTCTATTTGTTTCACGTCCATGGTCAAGTGGAGCATTTTCTACATGATTCAATGCTCACCAAGGAGAAGACAAAACCTGAAGACTTGTAGGAGGATTCTTCATTCAATTATTTGGGGGTAAGGATTGTTTATTCAATTTTACAATATATGTTTGAACGACCTGAATAAGATTTTACATTAAGAGTAAGTTTGGTTCACTTAGGATTGGATAAGTAGTACACATCCAAACCATAAAATGGTGTTAACAAAGTACTATTTAATCTTATTCTTGTATAATAAGTTTAGATCAAGATTGATATAATATATAAATCTATAATTATAATAGCAAATTTATGTTTAAATTTAGTAATAGTATATGGTACTATATTAAAAANTATATAAATCTATAATTATAATAGCAAATTTATGTTTAAATTTAGTAATAGTATATGGTACTATATTAAAAACGAAAAAACAAATATTGAAGGTAAGAATTTACATAATGTGTAATTTTTATATGATTGTGTGACTCTAAGTTTGTAAAGAGAATAAAATCATTGCATTTTTAATATTTAACTTGGTAAAAATAATACCACCTACTACATGATATTTATTACTACCTAGTAATAGATATTAAATCACCATAGTGAACCGAATCAAGATTAATTAAAATTAATACCAGGTTATTATAACATTATCTAAACTTCATATTATATTATTATCGGATTAAATTAATCCAATCCACCCCTTAATACCCAAAACAAATACACCCTAAATATATATTGGTAGCTTTTGAAATGCCCCCTAATCACATGGAAAGTTTGATGCACGATTATTAGCTACATCTAAGACGATATAGGCTTTCCTATGCATTTAACGGGGTGCAACAGTAGTTTGGTATGTGGGGGTCCTCTTGTACTATTTTGTTTGATGAAAAAAAAGAAGAAAGTAATACTAGAAACCTGATGCTGTGCCTAAAGTTACAAATTATCTCATTATTGTGATTGTTGTTGGTAACTGTGAGGGTCCAATTTGAGCGGTTCTACTCGAACCTAACCAAAGATATTTAATATTCAGTCAAACATTTCACGAATTCCAATTAGCCTTGGTCATAAAAATCCTAACCTTACTCCATCTCGTATAACTTGATACAATAATGCTATACTGAAATAAAATTCAAAATTTTAACTTATCTTCTTTCAACTTGAAATAAAATTCAAAATTTCAACTTAGGCTGAATAATCCAATTTTAACTGAGTTTAGAATCTAAACATAACAATACACAAGTTGAATTTAAATTTAGACCGAATTAGAGTTTCAAATTCATAATTTTATAATATTGGTTAATTTTGAATTAAACTATAAACCGGTCCCAGTTACAACCCTTCAACTCTTTACTACCCAAAAACCCCTACCTGGTAAAACCTAGGATCCTATCTCGTACAACCAGGATCTCGTACAACCAGGACTAAGACTTTGTTTGTTTTTTTATGGTCAGACACGACTAAGACTTTACAAACTAGGTTTTTTGACACCTTAGGTAATCTGCCAAAACTTTTGAAAGAGTAAAATTATAAAAATCAAATGAATTATCTCTCACCTTTGAATGGATTTGCTCTACCAAAGCATTATACTTGCCATCAAATGGAATGAAAGTATAAGGCAAATAATATGGCAAGCAATGCACTGTTGCTTTGAATACTTCAATCGAAAACCCACCGAGTTATCGCAAACCATTTCTACAAAACGGTTTGTTGGGTCTCCGTTGGGCACTCCAATTCTCAAAGGGTTGGTGGTTGTTGGAGGGGTCCATCCTCTTGGAATAGACCAAGGTCCCCAGGCCAAAACACCTGCCCCAAAATTTCCTTGGAATCATTGCAAACAGCTATTTCATCAATGGTCTACGAAAAACCTAATCCATCTGACCAGAACCAAGTTCCCTATAACTTTTGATGATACACAAAATAATTTTGTATACCATCTATCAAGTGTAAATAATAAATACAAAAAAATTAATAATGGGAGATAGAGAGACACAGACAATTTATAGTGGTTCGGTCAGCTTGACTTATGATGCACAAAATAGTTTTGTACACCACCTGTCAAGTGTGAATAATAAATACAAAAAAATTAATAATGGAAGATAGAGAGACACGGACAATTTATAGTGGTTCGGTCAGCTTGACCTACGTCCACTCTTCAATGACTTTTGGTTGCCGAGTAATTTACTAACTCAAGGGAGTGGGGAGCAGAGAATACAAGTTTTGAAGGAGAAGAAAGAATCATGCTCAGGGAAAGTGTGATGCCCAGGTAATCAGTGTGGTTTTTCATATGTTGGTGGAACGTGCAATTTATAGTGGCTCCCTAACGGGTTGGGGCTACTTTTCAGCGACTAAACAAACATTTTGGTGGAGTTCGCGATCTCTTCTCAACGAGCGAGGTGGTTGAGGAGCTCTTCATGAGATTCGATCAAAGATATGGTGAGGGTGGACCGTTTCCTTCGACTGTGCAGGTAAGGCTTCCCATGCTCTCCCCCTTGATAATGTGGCTAAGCAAAGAGTCTAACTTGGTCTTGGGCTATGTTGGGCTTGGTGGATCTTTAAATGAGGTTGTGCTTCTCAATTGGGATTTGGACTTTGTACATAGATTGAGCTATTTTGGGCTTGACCCATCATTTGTCCCCTAATGCCCCGTGTTCAAGGAAAGCTTGGAGAAGGAGGCATTGACTCTTCATTTGTATATTTTTGACTTTGGTGCAGACTCCAAGCCTTTCCCACTTTTGCTTGAATTTTAAAGAGAGCACATAATTTTTAATTTGGGCTTTTCCCTCTTTTAAAAACTCTAGACTATAAATATAGTCTTCTTCTTCATCCTACCCATTTTACTCACCTTGAAATTGGAAACCGTTCTTGAAAATCTTGAGAGCCCAAGTTCTTTCCATTTCTCTTGCCTTGAGATTGAGCATCCATTCTTGAAAACTTTGAAGACTCAAGTCCTACCCACTTTGTTGAAACTTTTAGAGGGAAAAGTGTGTTCTTCTTGAATCCTTCCAAGAGTGGGATTTCTTCCTTTCTAGTGGAGTTTTTCAAGTGGGCAATGCCGATTGAAGAGGGAGTGGTGGATATTGAAGAAAGGGAGGAGGTAAACACTATTTTAGGCGATGGTATAGGAAGCTTGGAGGCTGGTTTGGACCATTCGAGTGTTGTCCTGGATAGCTTTGGTGCCGAAAATGGTGGACTGCACAGCCTGGGTGCCGAAAATGGTGGGTTGGAAAGCTTAGTTTCACAAA